TTCTGCAGGGAAGGCCAGCAGGTGGTTTGGGGTCGCGCAGTCTAAGTCGGCAAAGACGAACGTGAACATCCTTCATCAGGAAGAGCTGATAGCGCAGAAAAACAGCGAGATTGAGCCGAGTTCTGCAGTGAAGGCCAGCAGGTGGTTTGGGGTCGCGCAGTCTAAGTCGGCAAAGACGAACGTGAACATCCTTCATCAGGAAGAGCTGATAGCGCAGAAAAAAAGAGAGATTGAGGCTAGGCTGGAGCAGCAAGCAAGGCAGAACTATCTGAGCATACAACAGCTGCCCCTGTTTGGAGAGTACGTGTCAATAATGGTGCCTTTAGGGTTTGAGCTTAACTGGCAGAAAACGTGTCAAACGAAATTGGATAGGCAAGTCTTATGAAAGCCTCGTGCTTGGAGGCAAGCAGTAAGAAGGCTGAAATTGATAACTGAATAATTGTGTGTCAGAATTTGCAATGCTGGGATACTTGAAGTTTAATTGATCTACCCAGGCTTGCAATTTTTCACATACTAGTGAGAACAACTGTGTCCTAACAAGGATCACATTTTTAGCACTCTTTTACTGTTTCCCTTCTGCTTCCTGTTTGTTATCTGTGTTATAATCATGTTAACATAGAAACTCCTAAGAGTTAACACAGTTCTCTGACTAAATGCTTGCCTGGAGTTTGTAAAAGCAGAGTAGCATAACAGTGCAAGTAGAAATCCTGTTTCAGTGTGATAGCAAACAAGCCAAACGGAGAGCATGGGTAAAGGCAGTAAGCAGCAAGCTGAATGGTTCTTGTGCTTTCAAAAAGGTAGATGCATTGTCAACGTTAACTGAGAGAGATTAGTAATCAGTGATGTTTATCTTGTTTTCTGTCTAAAATAAATGCGTATGAGGGGGCTGGGGAAGATGCTGAGTACCATCACCTACTTCTCTTTTTCTGTTTAGAGATGAAGGTACTGAAAATGAAGCCTCTGTTTCCAACAAGTTTGTTAATGATGGCAGTTTCCTCCAGCAGTTTCTCAAGCTGCAGAAGGAAAAGTCAAGTACTGGTAGGTCAACTTCTGAGCAACAGGAGGCCTTCTTCTCTTGATGATACTGGCCTTGTATGAGCTGCCTCCATGTGTGTTCACATTAGAAACTTAGCTATAAGCTGTCACCAGTCTGAGTAAATTCTAAAACAATGATAATCCCCTTTAAGTTTGGATTGAAGTCTTTCTTTAAGATGGTATACGATAGGGACGTTTGCACTTTTGCCGTCAGTACGTGCTATAAAGACAAGGATTGCTTTTCTAGCTTGAATTTTACCTTGTAGAAACCATCATAAATTTCATTTAGTTACCTGGCTTTTACCAGTTAATGTCTTCAGTTTACTCTTAAAATAACTGCCTGTTGCAGCTGTATTACTGCCTAAGTTGTTATCTGTAACCTTCTGAGATTAAAACAGTAAGGACGCGCAGGAATTATTTTCCCCTCGTTCTTTTCTAAGAACCTCCTCCAGGTTCTACTAATAACTCGGCAAACACTTCTGCATCAAACGTTGGGAAGAAACCTATGCTGTTTGGGAAGCGCCCTGGTCAGGTCCTGAGCAGCATGTTGCACCAAGTGAAGAACTACTCCCATTCCAAACAGACCCCGGTCGTTAACCGCCTCAGTGTGTTTCAGTCACCAGATGAAGATGAGGAGGAGGATTATGAGCAGTGGTTGGAAATTAAAGGTAAATGACATCTTGTGCTATGCTGTTTATTCAGGTTCAGTTACCCTGGTGATAGGGGTTGAGTGTGGGAACGGGGTTCCCTCAATGCTTTCCCATTAGCAGTTGGATTTGGGGGAGAGGGAGGGGGAATTGTCCCCTCCCTGCATATCCTGTGTGCCCTGCATATCCTGTGTGCAGACTTATGCATCCTGAAGTACAAATGACACCGTTAATGCTAGTGGACTCCATAGCCAGCTTCAGCAAAAAAGCTAAGGGCTGCATGGACTATGAAGAGGGAACTCCCTGCCAGCTGTTGGGTGTTATTCATCCAGCCTGAGCTCAGTGTGGGAGATGGCCCAACTATGGCAAGTGACCCAAGCCTGTTTTGTGCATAGGGGATTCCAAGGGGGGGATGCCTCTGAGCTATCAAGGCAAGCACTTGACCAGTGTATAATCTCTAAAAGTAATGCAGAGAGAAGGAATATATTCTGCTATTAATGGAGCCTGATTTCTTGCTAATTGTAAGAATTCTGCTTGCTTTTTTTTTTCTTTTTTCCCCTGCAGTTGAAATCTGTCCTGGCTAGTGCATGGTTGTCTTTAAAAAGCTATCTGTCTGTCTATATATGTATAAAATCCTATATTTGAAGCAGAATTTTAATTTCTAAATGATAGAAAATGAAATGTCTGCATTTGAGAATGGATGTGTGGAGGGAAAAATCTATCTCTATATATGTATACGTGTGTGTGTATATATACATATATATACACATGCATATATGTATATATATAAAATACAAGTTATGAAATAATGACCAGGTAAAATCAAAGTTGCCATCTATGTTCAAAGTTTTATTAGAAAATCTCACCTTGGAGGTCCTGACTGCTTTAAAAGGGATAGAAAAGCAGTGAAGAATATTGCAGTGTTTAAATAACCAAGTTTCTCTGAATACGATAGACTAGGAAGCCAGAAGGCACGTTTGCTTAATGATCTAAATAATCAAGACACATACAAGAAAAATCAGGTATAAAATTAGATTGGAGTTGCTAAATAAGTCACGCTAAGCTCTGTGTCGTAGTTCATTTCACTAAGTTTTAAAAAAGGCTGTTTCTGATGGGAATTTTTAAAAGCATAATCTTAACAAGTCTGAACGTAAGTGTGAAACACACTGCAGGAACGTGAGATACAGCCTTTGGCTGCGGAGAATAAAGACAGACTGTGGATCCTTAATTAACAGGTCCTGGGTTCAAGCTTAGTCTAGGTCAGTGTGGACAACTCTGCTCCTGCGTGCTCTTTGTTCAGCACCTTATCTGAAGCATTGCTGTCTAGGTAAATGTCTGTTTAGTTCCCACTGAACGTGTCCTACATCAGATCCTCGATCACGATCAGTGTTAGCGGGTTCCTTTCTTGGCACAGAAACCAAAGTGCAGTTTCTTGGAGATGGAGCTCTCCTCTCTGGGATTCGCTCCAAGTGAGGGTTGAGCCATGGGCATGTGTCAGGAGGAAGAACTGTATGCTGCAGCTACACAAGCTGTTTCTGGTGTCTGGATACAGACTGATGTCTTAGGAACTGGAAGCTGTAATCTTTCATGAGTAATGTGGCTATTAAAAAACAATCCAAATTCCTCTTCCCTTCTCATCATGTGTTTTGTGTGGAGTAGAATTGTCAGAACCAAATTCTGTGGCAAATTAAAGTTGTACCCTAATTTTTGGTGATCCAAGTCTTAAGCTTTTCTGCGTGGGGAAAACATCGAATCAGATCACTTAGTCTCTAGAAGGGGAGTGCAGAGACTGATGGTAACCTAGGAGTTGTGATTTGTACAGCTGTGTAAGACTGGATCCCCCATTTCATCCTCTTTCTTCCCATCCCCGTTCTACTTTTGTCTGCCTCTGTGGT